AAGTCAGAAAACTGAAAAAATCAGGGGGTGGCATAAGCAATTGACGCGCACTGTAGAAAACGCAGTCACGAACTACACGCCATCACTTTCAGGATGATGACAGCACTCAAAGATTTCGTATATCGGACTACCGGGGTGAATACAGGTTTTGTCGGGATTTGGAAAAAAAATCGTCAAATCGAGCTTCTTTGGAATGTAATTACAAAATCCTCAAGAAAGTATAACGACCAGGAGCGTGAGGCCCAACATAGAGATCCGCTACGATCGTAGCTCTTTGAGGATTTCTTACCTATTGGTCGATTCCTTGTTGGCTACTCTGTTTGAGAGAATAAAAGTTTTAGCCTAACCATCGATCGAGCATCGGAAGCGTTTGTATAGTACAAAATGTTAAATATAAAAAACAGCATTGATCGATATCGCCGGGATGAGCCACGTATAAAGCATTTGCTCAAAATTTTGGAACTTTCCGGATTTTTGTGAGATTATGGAAACTTATGATACTGAAGCAACCAATTGGGGAGTACGACAATGTCCAGCCAGTGTTCCACACATGGATAAGACTACATTAGTTGACCCCCCGCCAAGAGGAAAAAAACCTTGCCTTACCATCAACCGATAGGGATTCTGTCTATGGGGTTCATTAGATTGTACTGCTTGTACAGTTCGAAGATAGCGCTTTCGCCACTACGCCATATACAGTAGCGGTCAAAAGTGTTCGCCGAAGCGGTTTTTCGCGCTTCTCTTTTTTTGCCAGAAAAAAATCAATGGTGACCTCGAAAATTTTTTCTTTTGAATATCCTGATTCTTTAAGACTTGAGGATATAAAACTAAAAAAAAAACTAAAGCGACTTAAATTAGATGTTGTGGCGGATTTCCGGAAGTGGTTGCTCGGAGCCACCTGCTTTCACATTATCTCACACTTTGCTGCCTACACCTCACCCCATCAGAACTACATTTCATCTAAGAACTTCTAAACGAAAGGGAGCGACACTTTTGTGTTCACTCAGTTTTTCAACTATAGTGCACTCCACTTTTTCAATCAACTTAGCATGGTCTATTAGAATTCCAAGAATTGCGAATAGTTCGCTTTGCATTTAGACGCGCTTTTTTCAGCGCTGAACGCCTTTCATCGCTAATTGTTGCCGGTTCTACGTGATGTTCAAAACATTATGTGAGCGTTCTGTGACATTGCCCGAAGTTTTTTACCAACAATAGCCTTTGATTTGATTTCCTCGAAAGATAAGAAATTTTCTGGTATGTAAAGCAAACATGAGTTGTAAACAACGAGCTCGAGCCATGAAATGCTTTCTTTGCTCTAGCCTGGCTCGAAGCCAACCGTCACAGTATAAAAAGGCGCTGATGACAGCAATAAATCTTAAAGAATAGAAGTTGTTGGCATTAATACGTTTTTTTTCAAATTGCGCCATGCGTTCCACTTCTATCCATATCTTAGCAGTATTTGAATGAGGTCGGCCTTATACAATAAGTCGCGGAGCTAACCAATGTACGAATCTTGAAGATACTTTATACTCTCACACGAGTCCGGGGCTCCCCAAGGCCAGGCATGGTTGGCCCAGAGGAGATTCGACCCGAGATATGATTGCCGAACGTGCGCATGATATGCGGACTCTGGCTCCACCCATCCCACACCACTGTTTAATTAACCGCTTCGGGTAGTAGTTCAAGAGAGCATGGAGCATCTACAAGTCTAATTCAAATCACTATAGAAGGCAAGGCGTCCAGCTGTATTTTTACAGAGTTCGCTTTAACATTGCCCTCGAACTATCGAGAATTCCCATGCTCTGTGAACTGGAAAATGGGGATATGCACATGGCCTCTATACAAAATGAAAACAGCGGCGACGCGTGTGAGACTAGTTGTGATAAATTTAGTGAAGAATGTACGGAAAATGGGAAAATGAAGCTAATAGTCCTCAACAGAAAGGCGAGAGTGAACGACTCTAAGAAATGACCAACTTCTCTCTTCGCAGAACCTCGGCATTGATGTTGTAGCATTATGTGTTCTAATTCTTGTGCCGTAGAGATTGTAAGGTGAAACCTTATTGAGCGCCTCAAAGCGTTCAATAAAGTTTTCACCTATCATTCTCTACAGCACAAGATTTAAAGAAGACTTTGAGGAAGTTTACCTTTACTCAACCGGTCATTTTAAGCAGTATCCAGTGGGTAACGATACTTCTACGCAAGGCTTGTGGGAACTGAAACAAATCCAATTTGACTTGCACATTAGCAGCTCACAGAAATGATTCCCAAGAACAAATACGCACAATTGCACCAATTTCGAATGAAACTGGAACGATGGCGCATCCCAAATGGTGTTGATCGCTGGAGTCTTTCTCTTCTTTTGACTTGTCTTTTTGCTGCATCCTAGGGGCGTTATCTTTGATGAGGCGGAGTATGAGATGAAATGGAATTCACCGCCCTTACTCTACCCTATACGCACGCATTTCCAAACTGATAGAACTGTCACATATTCACTCAGGAATAGGTCAATATAAATGTGAGGTGGAGTAAGTGGCGCCGCATACCACGCACCAGTTCATAAGTGAAACTCGGCATCGAATCCCAGACAGGTTTACCAGACTTCCCAGTCCCCTGGGTCGGTTAAGGCAATGGACTCGCATGAGAGAGTTAAAGCACTAGCACAAATACAGAAGCAGGCTCATGGTGCATAGACTAAGTCGTCCTGAGACAGCACTTCGATTCTAAATGGAAACGAAAGCGTGGCCTAATCCAGAAAGAGAGTGTTCACCACCAAATGCTCCATGCTTCCCATGTTATTCATTCCCCCCGCTGATCCACATAAGTTTGGTGCGATCACCGCTCATAAATCACTACTGCTGCCAACCAGAATCAACGACTTCGCCCGAAGACTTCGCCAAGCCACACCTCGGCGTGCGATTAACACTTCCCCCTTGAGACAGCGGAGCCTCCAATTGGCGGGCCGCCCCATCGGATGGAGTTCTAGAATTCTCTAACAAGGAAGGGTCATGGATCATTATGGACGTTCAAGATGGACATATACGCATATGTACGCCTTCGGAAGCTGATCACAAATTTCACTTCCACACCTGCAAAACGATCCTCTGAGCGGAGTTACGAAACAAAAGAGCGCAACCGTAGTGGTTGGGACTCGACAGACTGGACGTAATGAGAACGATCTCCCTCATTGTGCTCACTACGTCTCCTGATCGATGTTTTTTCTGCTCTGGAGCTTGATAGGTTGCTAGGGGCCGGTTTTAATGTATTACAGGAAAAAAGCAGCACAGAAAACGACAGAGAATCGGTTTCACGACTTCTTAACTGTGAGTCTGCACTGCACACATACGCGTCGTCTTTCTTTGCGCTCCACATTTGCGCTAAAAATCGCTCTAAACAGATTTGAAATGTCCATGTAAGATCAGCTTAAAGGCACGTCTAGGTATAGCAACATCATTTTGTTGAATAACGTACGGCGATCTAGGTTCCCTTGTCTAGGAGACTGAATCACACACTGCTCATACAACAAAGTCAAATCAGTGTCCACGCCCAGCGTGCATCATAATCCCTAGATGAATGGAAGGGCAGAATGTGCGGTGCATCCGAAAGTACATGATCACCTTTTTTCATTAGTTAGGCCCCTGTATGCACTTCAGGCCATCAAGGTGACAAACCTCTCTGTACAGTTGTGTACTGCTTTGTAGAGACAAGATTTCAAAAAAGCCACCGAATCGAGGGTGCTAAAAAAAACTCCAACCTGCTTAGTAGAGGCGAAGTAGGGCGGCTTTTTTCCTCTACCTTCCCGACCCTACAGGTTGGAAAACATGGGAAAAGCATGGGAAAAAGCTATGAAGACAGAGTTCTTTTATGTCTCATTATAAGCTTTGCGCTCTACTGGTTTTCATGATCTTCGAGATGTTCGAATCTAAGCTTTATCTCGCAAGTACTACATGTAAGAGCCATCCAATATTAAGGCTAGTCGATTAAAATGATGAGTAACAAAGGCACGCAGTACCTCAGCACTTCGGTGCTCATAGATAAGTTTAAACCAAAAGAGATATCTTCCGAAGATGCATAGCTTCGATAGAATCGTCTTATCGACTTCTTAGGGGACTACTTGCTCAGTTGTTCTATTCTTCTTCGCCGAATGAGGGTGACAGTTGAAACCTTTTATTTATTGTCCCAACGCTTCGACCTTTTGATCTTCTTCAGAGACCAAAAGCTCCACCAGTTCTGCGAATCATTTGCTCACGCCCTACCAGTTATGTTAGTATGGGCAGGAATCTTTGCTACTAATAGTAATATACTGATGCCTACTCGACCTTCTGCTACTGCATCACCTACCTTTCGAAACCCTAATAATCACAGAACAAGTTAATGGCAAGGTCCGGGCTCAGCGTCGCTCCCATGGACAGTGGTATGTGGCCCTCACCGCGCAGGTCGCCCTATCTTCGCACATCGAAACGCGTCACTAAGACGCTAGGCGCTATGAACTTTGATCAGACTCCACCAAACTAACATGGTCCGCCCACCGCTCGATATCTTGTCTGCGTCGCAATGTTGATCTGCTATGCTCTCTCTCGGACTTCTCTTTGCCCTCTCCGCGACTCACATCTTTCATCTCCCTACCTGCGTCTTACGGTTATACATCTTCACAGCGAAAAGCAATAGGCTCGTATTTCCTGTGTTCTTCATTTCTTTTTTCCTTCACGTATAGATTCACTGTCCTTGCTGTAGCATAATTTTTGCCTTCAACAAGTTACCATGTTATTAAATTACTACTGGAGAACAATGACCAGCCAACTACAAATCGCCTGTGAATTGACACACTCAGCAAAAACTCGGATACCGTAAGACTTAATCGTTAGGCACTCCACTGACACCGACGCTCCATGCAACACTGGACCAAAATATATGTTACCTATTCAAGGCTTAGGAAATGTCGAAATATGGTGAAATAGTGCGCAATGAAACCGCTACCAAGTGCTTCGCGCCTAGTCAGAGATGCTGAACAACAGAATCTTACAACAGTTGCATATGCTGCCGTTCATCTTTGAAATCACAACACAACAACTGTTTCAAACCGCGGTTTTGCAGAACCATCTACGTTCACTGGGAACCGCAAACAACAATCAATCCTTGTGGAGAGACCGATCCGTCAGCGCTAATCGAAACTTTGAAGGTTTGTGTCATCTGATCGGTGCAATTGCACGCACTGACAATCGAATTTCCTCAAGTCATGGTCAGATTATTCCAAAATAGCCAAACAAAGGTCAAGGTCATGCTGGTCGAGGTGATCAATCTCACCGGCTATCAGCATCAATGATTATGACTGGCTGACCGTAACATGGCCAAAATTTTATTGGGAATAGAGCGTTTAAGTTCTCCTTGCAGGACAGCGGTATTTACAATGAGATCTACATGGCGCCCGATATCTTCACCGCCAGTAAGAACTTTCCCGATTTGGGTGGACGGAATTTCATGAAAGCTAAAAGTCGATACCACTGTGATGAGAAGTGTGAAAGGTAAACATCTTCGAGGAAAAACGCTTACGAGGGAATTTTCTCATGTCACTAGCTCTTCCATCGTTCTGCAACAACCAAAGGAATTTGTGTAATAATTTGAACAACAACGGCGCTTTGTTCTCTTCAAGGTTATGCTGAGACCCCCACCAAAGCTGTTATGTATGTCCCTTCAATAGCTTGTCAGTTTCTTCTAAAATAAATAGCAGGTGCGAAAGAGTGGAGTGACAGTGTGAAGAAAAGGAAAAGAAACTGAAAATGGAGTCCCTTTTTCTTCAGGCTGATTCTAACCATAAGAGACACGCACCGGATAGAGGGGATACAAAGTGCCGCGAAGAGGCGAAAGAAATAGTCACGAGAAGGGCAGGAATAAGGCGAGAGCATTTGTAGCCTTTAAAGTCAATCGGTAGGCAGAATACCTGGCCAACCTAATGCCTTAGCGCTTTATGCCTATAATTTTAGCACCGGGTACTACGAACCTATAATTCTCGCATCTATCGATGTCACTCCTCTTTCTGATCTTGGTTTGTACATTAAAGAATGACGCTTAGCGCCTCAAAAATAGCGGGCATTAAAAGAGGTAACGGCGTAATAGCTTTTTCATGCATAAAGCTACAAGGACTATTTTGACATGCTGCAACCTGCTTGGCTTTCGAAGGCGCTACTTGAAATTATGTAGTCTCAATGCACCACTCTTGAGCGCAGGATATTTTGAGATTCGTTCGCGCATGCAATAGAACAGAATGCCAATCCCCCTAAAGCGGAGACCTTGATAGTCCAGTATAAATCGCCCAGCTGGTGCATGGAAGACTCAACCCCAAACATGCCACCTAATGTGTAATTCAACCCACATTTAATTGCGGAAGATTCACGCGCTCGGAACAAAATGGTATGAACACTATCTTAGAGGTGGGTCGCGAGTAGCTGAGACCAATCCAGCTCTGTTTTGAATTTTTCAATATTCTGGCACTATTTTTGTCGCCATCAACATGCAGCATCTCCAATTTAATATCATCTGAAAAAATAGCGCTTTTACATATTTTGCCTTCAAAAAGTTATGTCAAGAGTTGAAGGTTGAATGGTCTTAACACCGCTGCTGCACAAATGCAGATCGTAAGGCGCAGCGATAACAGAGGACTGCAATTCACATATCTTGTGAGAATAGGAATCATTGAACAAGGGCATATACCGTTGCCTAGGGAATTTGATAACTTCAGAATAATACGTTTCTGATGCGGCTTAGAAAGTACGTTACGCGAGCGTGCAGATCATTTCCATGAGGGTTAGTTTGAACCGATTTGGTGGTGGTGTACTAACAGAAAAATGGGTACAGCTCTGGTTTGTTCCTCACGAATTCTATGTGGATTGAATTCGAACCGACCGCGTCGCAACCGCATGCGCAACCACCCACGCAGTCCACAGCGTGGAATGGGATTTACCATTCATTGGCCAACCCTGCTAGTCAGTATTCACATTTTCCTGACCCTGCTGATGACAAGATCAGGAAGATGTGGACACTAACTAGGTCGCTATACTCACCTTATGCCTCGAATAAATAGATAGTATATATAACCACCAAACTACTGAAATCGATTACCAGTCCAACAAATCAATTTTTGTAGATCGTCCAAACTCGTTCGTTTCGTGATGACGGGCGACGATGCACAAGAGCCACCGAAAGAGTCGGAACGGACATGGTGGGATGAAGAGGAATGGAAACGTGAGGAAAGGTACAGCTATGATTTTGTGTAGAAACAGCCAAGGGCAATCCAGGGGCCAGTGGCTACGTAGCTGGCCATCGCCATTCTCTCGAAATGGTGACTTTGCATTGATTAACATCTCCTGGAATAACTATTAGAAACCAGGAGACTTTATGACCAAGCTGACGTATTTCATCGGCGATGTGTTTGGATCAGGCGTGTGCCAGGAATCGAAATTACGGAGCATCTCGCTCTCTCCGGGCTATCTTCCCAGAAAGGGCAAAAGGTGTCGGAGTGACGTTAAAAGGATCGCCCATGGCCGCTAATAAAGGTAGCCCTCATCCAGGTCAATTTTACCTCCCGACGCTTCAAGGCATGATCGACGCAAGGAACTGGAAAAGACTGTGCGTACTGCGCTTCGAGAACTCGACCGAATGGATCAGGACGAACTCGAAGGGTCCAGCGATCCGCCGGAGCAGGAAGAGTTTGTTTATCTCACATGAAATTCAATGACTATGAAAAATTCAACCAGAGTTTTAGATTCGATCAATTCTTCACCAGCGAACTCCATTCAGAGTCGATTTTCTCCGCCAGGCTAAAACGACGAAGTTCTCCTCTGCCACTAACGACGGAGAACTCAGGAACAGCAAGGGATATTCTCGGTAAGTTCGGCTGAATCTTAGGCCTTCTTCAGGGAAAAAGAGATCTTTGTTCCAGGTACAACAATCGCTCTTGAATGTCATAACAAACGTAGCGACCTTCAATCTGGGTGGGTTCGTGCATCATTCAGCAGTTTTTCCCGTCGGCTCAGCGCCTAACACAGTCAGATGTTACATCGGGAACCGGTTTCCAATTGACCGGAAGTGGTCTTTTGAGGGTTGGGCATTTGATCGGTCAATGTTTTGCTAGAATGATAGTTCTTTGGACTCCAGAAAAATCTTCCGAAGACCAAATCAGAACTAGGAAACCCCTACCATTTTCATTCCTCAAAGCTCTTGCTTTTCAAAAAAAAATTAAACTTTAAATTGCTCAAAAGCCGTTCCCGAATGTGCCATGTATTCGACTACCACTCAAGATCGTGGTAACCTTCAAATGCGTAATAGCTTTCTCAATTACTTGTGAAGAACAGCCGGTATAAGATGAATTCAGGTGTTTTCATCCTCCTAAAGGACGATTCCACGATAAAGTTGAAGAGTAAAGGGGAAACGTACCTAGTAGAAAGAGAGGCGGACCCTCAAAGAAGAGGACCTTCACGCACTCAGCAGCGAAGGACATGCACTAGCGATCTAGCATTGGCCAATCTCGCGCCACTAGCGCCGCGATACGCCCACTCTCTCGCCGTCTGAGCCTCTAGCCGTTTAGCAGGAAGAGTGTTGGCGTTGAAGAGGGCGCCACCGATGAAAGTCGCATCAAAGCGGAAATCTAACGGCAAAGAAGGGGCCACTTTCTAGGCTATAGGGCAGTTCTCAGTGTTTTTCATTTCTGCACCACTTACACTCTGTTCTGATTTCTAATGGGCAGCTTTAAACCCAGCCTTTAAACAAATCGTGCCAACTGTACCAACCTGGAGGGATGGAAATTCTTCAGTGTGGATGGGGTCCGATCCGCGTTGCTTCATTTATAAAAACCTTATTAAGTCTATTAGCCGATTTGCCGATCTGAATAACCAGCATCATTACTCACTTATCGAAATAGAAGATACATTTTCGCCGAAGACCACTTAGAATTATCTTCCACCAGGAAAGTGACTGACTTAGACCACAACATACTACACTGCTCCGTATAAATAAATCATACTTCCGCCTGCAAATGCCGAAAGACTTGCATCAAAAAATGTTCTCGAAAAATGATCTAAATTGGAACGCAAAGTTGCAAATTGAATGAGCAAATTTTTTCTCTATTTATTTTTTTGGAAAAAAAAGTGTTCTTTATGTTTCCCTCCCTCATAGCAATTCTAACACATCTGGAAACACCTATTCTGCAAAATCAAACAAACTTCCACCTCATGATTTTTCCCTGCATTTCATTTGGTACTTCCACGAAAATTCTCATTTTCGTCAATTTTCCATGGATATCAAAATGATAACTGCTGTCAAACTTCCGAGAGACCAAAATCTCAGCAAAGATTGCAACTGAATTGTAAAACCGTCAATCGTCAGGAAATCAAGTCACTCGTCGTAATAACATGTTCATGACTCTCCTAGGATGTGGGCTGTAAGGAGTCCTGAACACTCCTTGTTTCCGACAGAGATAAGGGCCGTATGGTGAGTGAAGAATGAAACTTCAAAAAGCTGGGTACAAAAGTCGAAACTTCTTCAAAAAGTGATGTCTCAACATACACAGTTTCACGTGTTTTCCAAAACTTCCATGAGAGTCCATGTTCCAAAATGAGCAGTGCACTTTCTCTGACAAATGGCGGTAGCCAAAATCGAGCCAGCTTTGCCAAAAAGTGCAGTCGAGAGGAGTAAGGTCAGTCTTCCATCCATTACGTTTTACGTTTTGATTGGTGCTATTCCTCCTCGGCGTTTTTCTTCCTCATAGCTTTCCTTTACATACAGCACATCTGAAGAAGAAAAACGTTGGGAACCAGGCAAGCAGACTTCAAAACATAAAAATAAACACGTCATTACTCCACTCGCCGTGGCTACACTTTCCGAGAAAATTGCCTCATTTGTCTGTATGGTTTCTTGAAACAAAAGATGTTTACCCATTATCTAAATATGGATCGTAGTAGAATCCCGAAATCACGCCCGTCTGTTAACATTACCTTTTGAAGGAGTGACGATTTCCACACCTGACCTCGCAAAATCTCACTATTCTTTCATGTACAGTGCTTATCTCAGCCGAAGCAAATTGCAGCTCAGGATTCCTAATAGTATCATGTCCTGTAGGGCCCATGATGGTATTTGTGCCAAATTGACTTCGATCGAATTCCAGCGCGATTAAATAGTTCGACAGCTCTTGTAACTCTTCCGCAAGGATTTTCTCATTACAGAAATCTGATAGCGGTTTCACTTTTGCTGTCATCTAAGAAAATGTGATGTAAAATGAAAGTGTGAAAATGTAATTTAATCAAAAAATTTTTGGAGAAAAAAGGCAAAATGCAGAAAAACTGGTGGATCTTCATGGTTCGATGGTGCAGAATAGGCATAGCGGGTTTTCTTCAGAAAATGAATGGAAAAACTTTGCTTTCTCAAGATAAAACCTTGCGTTGCCATTTAGAATTGTGGCTCTTCTGACGAGCTCTGGAAAATTTGCAGGTGAACCATTAACCATTGCGAAGTAGTGCATGTGCAGTGGCAGCAAAATTCTTTGCCCTCTCACAATCAGACAGTTGACCATGGTAAAGGCGATTTGCATGTTGAACTAGCGAGCTGATTATATAAC